AATGGATAGCTGCATGTGAGATGGCCACCTCTTGGGGCGCGCTATCGTACTCCACGTGAATGGGATTTTTGGCCAAAGAAGCATAACTCTTGGGAGGATCAGACGGAGATGGTTGTGGCAGGTGATTGTGCAGGTAAGGCTGGTGGTAGATGGTCTCATGCTGCTCCACCAAACGACCGTCCTTCTCGGTGATCAGCTTGTTGTGTATATTCACGGACTTTTGTACCTCTACAAAGGTATAGGGAGTGGATTTCTTGGGAGCCGGAGCATGTTGAACATTGTGCTGGGAGGGCTCAGCGGCTGCCTCAGCCACGTAATCGTGGGGGGCTGGGTGATTAACTGTTATTTGGACATGCGGTTCAAGGGGCGTATGAGCAACGGCCGGTGCTGGCGAGGAATGAGGAGGACGTGGAGTGTTCAAGGTGACAAAAACCAAACTATTTGGCGTAGCAGAGACAGGCGTGGGACCTGCATACCCGGAGTACTGATGAATCTCTGGCGATGGCGAGGGCGAGGAAATGGCCTTGGTATGCAGCGTTTCAGGTTGAGGCTCTGGCTGCTTCTGCGCTTGTGGAATCACCTGACTGATCTCCTGTTGGTAGGCCAACTGGGCAGCAGGTCTCACAAACTGTCCTGCGTAGTCTCCCTCCTTTGGCGGCCGTGGATTCGGCAGCTGGGGAGGATTCTGCACTTCGTAGTGGAAGCTGCCCTTGGGAAGGGGTCCATCGCCACTGCCCGAAACTACGGGATTAAAGCTCTTAAGGAATTGCCGGGAAGGAGCTTCATTGCTAGGATAATGCTGCTGGAATCTCTGCTCACTGTGCGCCTGAAAGTGATCCAAGGCGTGCTGGGGAGGTTGCGATTGCGGTTTCTCTTTTGGTGACTGGAAAGATGATATTCATTTTATAAATTCGGAATATTTGAAGTCAAATCCTACCTTTCCCTCTCCCTGCTGACGTTTTCCCAAAGTCTCGTCGTGCACGATGTGCACATTGATTTCCTGATCCTGTCCAGGACCCTTCTGGTTGGCATAGCTCTCGATGCCATTGAAAGCCGGAGCTGGCAGTCGCTGTTGGTAGGCCTCTCTGCCCACATGCCGTGTCTCAGCAATCTGGTTATCATTGATCTCCTGCCCCTCCTCCACATCCCCTTCGTGATCTGCGAGTATAACAATCGGAGCACTTTCGGCCGCCACCAGAGTCTCATTGTCATCGCCCTCCGGTTGGAGTAGCAAACTGGGCAGCACTGGAGCAGCCACTGCAGCCCGATTAATCCTCAGCAGCTCATCCCGTGAAATGTGATTGCTGCCGTCTCGGAAACCAGGATCTCGGATCTGTTCCACCACTATCTCGGTGTGTCCTGGCCCCAACTCCCTGCGGTACTCCTTGGTCACTGTGGTTTGGTAGCTGTAGTACGTGGCATTTGGTGCTGGGGCCTCCTTTGGCTTTTCAGTGGTCACTGCCTCTGTGGTGCTGACCACATCCACCACAGTAGGCCGCACAACCGCCTTGTTTGTGGTCGTGGACGTTGTGGTGGACGCCTCTGGGTTGCCACTAAAACGGAAAATGTCCGAGAATCCCTTGGGGAAGAGATTGGACAGAACCTCGTTCACGGTGTCCGTTCGCGAGCGGGTCACAGTTTGCTGAATGGGTCTTTGGCGTTTAGCAATTTCCACAGGCATCTCATCGTTGATCTCAAACTGGATGTAGCCATGACCATTGGTGGGACTCACTGAATCTTTGGGAGGCAGCACAGTGGGCAGAAAGCCTGGAACACTAGGGGAAAAGGGTTAACTATTGTTAAAAATTTATTAAGCTTTAATAGAGGATACTATTTCTAAGGCTTCGAATTTAATTTTAGTTTTCTTTTTGATCTTTAGCTTACCCTACGAACTCCGCTTCTTTTTCTGTAGCCTGGTCCTCCCGTTCCGGTTCGCGTTCCCTTTCCAAATCCAAGCCCTCCTGCAGCAGTTCGCCGTCCAAGTTGGGACCTTCGATGACCTCGCGGATGAGCTGACCGGCTGCCTGCTTATTAAGCTGTCAAAAGCGACGCTCATTGCCTGTCAAAATCTTTCACTAAACTCGGACTCACCTCCTTGGCACTGCTGCTGTCACTCAGGGCTTCAGTTGCCGTCGTCTCCTCCGTTGAGTTCTGTTGGAGATTGGGTATGGATGTGGGTGGCTCATCTGAGAGGGCTGGCTGAACGATGAAGGCCAACAGACAGCAGAGCGTGGCTGCCGCCGTTAGCAGATGTCGTTGGTGGCGGTGGGGCCACATGGAGCTATTACGGAAATGGCCAAAAGCAGAAAGAGTTAGATGTTGTTGTTGTTGTTGTTGTTGGGTTTTTTCCGTTAGTAAGCGGAATGGTGGTGGCGGTGTGAATAACCCCAACGACCACGACAAATTCCAAGCGACAAATGGAGGAGTCGTCAAGCCTGTTTGGGCCCGTTTCCAAAGGCCATCCACTAGCCTCCACTCGAATCCTAACCACTCGACTCCAGTCCACTCCACTCGGCTCCACTCCACTCCTGGCGACTACTATAGCCACTCACTTGTCGGGCTGTTTGATTTTTAACCGATACGTCGCTGGATGATGATTTTTCCTAAGTGGCTGCCTTGGCACTTTGGCGCTTTTCTTTCTCTTTCGCTGAGAGATTTTCCCTAAAACGTTTGTCGCTTTTCTTTGCCAAGTTGTTGAACTTGGTGGCTCCGTTTGCTTGCGGCTTATGTCATTGCTACTGGCAACGTAATGAATTATTAATTAACCCCTCCAATGGAAATTCCCCTCACCCTCAGACCTGCCCGCACCACGCATTTAATTTGGAAAATTGAAATTGATGGCGTTTAAAATGGTTCGTACGGGTTTTCACATAGTTTGGCTGCCACCGCCGCTGTATTTTGATAGGCATTAAATATGCATGCCAAAACATATTTCACCTGCAATATTCATGGCTAAGTGGCCCGGGGCACTTTTGAGCCGGTCCCCTTGCCTGCCTTGGCCGTCTTGTTTTGGCCAAACATAACACAAGAAAGTGCAGCTTTCGGTAGGGAAAATTGTGGCTTTTAATTGGCCATGTAGATAATGATCTAAACTGGGCTATTAAATGGAAGACATTTCGTATGCATGTTTTGCCTAAGTCCTTTTTGATTGCCATTATACATTCAGTGGAGGACTTTTGAGTCCTTAATGCAATGCCGTCATCGAAACTCATTGCATGATATCCCATTGGAGTCAGAAAACCAATTTCATCCGCTTCTAACTCAATTTGCACATGGAAAATTCTCTTCTACTCGTTTTTGTGTTGCTCAGAGTGGAAATATTAATTTGCGCCGTTAAATGGGCATTTAAAATATTCCATTCGCTTTTTGCATTTACCTGCATCCATTAAGTATCGCGCGACGGGATTTTTATTTGTATTTTTGCCGTAGGTTGCAGGATGCAGCGAAATGCAAATGAAAACACTCAATTATTTATATTGATGGCCGGCCAATTAAACTGCACTTATAATCACTTTTCTATTCGATTAAAACAATTGTAATTCTCTGAGCTTCGAATGGCACAGAATATCGGGGGGAATATATATATATATATTTTATATATATATAATTTCAGGTGCTCTTTTCGTGCGACCCTGCCAGCTGCGCGTGCGCGTTGCGAATGAAAGTGAAACCGTCGGGCACTGAGCATTTCGTTTTCTTTTCATCGTCGTGGGTTGCAAGTTGCTGTCGTCGCCGATGTTGCTGTTGCAAGTGATGTTGCTGCCGCTGCCACTGCTGCTGCTGCTGCTGCTGCTGCTGTTGCTGCTACGATCCTTAAAGTGTAGCATAAAACTTGTCCATCCGGCGATTGCGCAACCTTTGCTGTCTTTCTTACTCCTTCATGGCAATGACAATTTTTGTTTTTATGGCTTTCTACTGCGGCAGCATTGACCCTGCCAAAAAAAAAGGCAAAAAAAACGTGGCAAGCTCGCGGGAAATCTTTAAAAACCAGTTTTTGAGTTGGAAATGCCAAAGGCATATGGCAAAATCCACTGTGAAAGCCCTTGTCATGGCCTAAACACCCTTTGCCACCTGTTTCCCGATCTCCAGCTGTTTGACATAAATATCTTGCCTCATTTCCTTGCCTCATAACACCTGATGCAATTATCACACTCATTTTACACCTGTCGGTTCGATCACCTTCGAACGCATTGTTTTCATACGATTTTCCACCGCTTTTCCTCCGATTCTCCCGGCATTTTCATTCAATTTTAATGAGCCAGCCGCATTGGCTCACGCTGCTGTTGTGGAGCGTTTGACGTTTTCGGCTGATTGATTAATGTGGATGCGGTTTTGCGGGCGGGGCGGTGGAGAGGCGCAGCGGTGAAGCGGCGGTGCACTTGTTTTTTTTATATCTGTCTGATTTATTAAAATGCGACTTTTTTATTTATGCTTTGGTAATTCATTTTATTTATTGCATATTTAATGATATCGTTTTTCCTTTTTCTTTTTTTTTTTCTGTGCTTTTTGTGGACTCTTTGAAGATATTTATTTTAATGGCGAAATTATTTGAGTTGAGGTATTGCGTGAATTTAAATGGAAATTTGCTTAAATAGTAAATCAATTTACAAATGGCAATTGTTACAAAATCGTTAACTACCTTAGTTACAAAATTGATTGGTATTTAAAATACTTAACTAAGGAATTCCACTAAAATGTAACCTTGAGAAAGATATTTTGTCATTAAACATAGCTATGAGGCTATTCATATTTTATCTATAAAAACAGATTAACTACAAAATATTTAAAAATGCAATAAATTAATATGCCTTCAACGAGATTTGTTAACAATTTATAAGAAATTTCATTACAAAATTAAAATCTCACCAACCTATCTCAACCCGCAACTTTTTTGTCAAAGCCAAAACTAGGGGAAAGTTGCCGTTCTACCCCAGCTAATACACCCATTACCCACAGATATAGATCCAGTGATCATTTAGGTGTGATTTATGCTTTCCATAATCGGTTAACTTCTTTATCTGCTTGCATCTCATTAAAGACATGTTGCATGCCTCATGCACACACAATCCCAGACTTTCTCCCAATGAAAATGGAAACTGGAACTGTTGCCGAGATCACATTTTTTTCGGTTGGCATTTCCTCCAGCGTTTTCCGCACCAAAATCGAACCAAACCTCAGAGACAATTATGAAGAAAAGCCAGGGAGAGAGATTGCATAAGCTAGGCGGCACTCGTATGTGGCCAACTGAAAACCAAAAAGAAATCCCCAGCCAAACTCCAAGGAAATGCGAGCCATAAATTGCCGTGACCAGCAACTAACTTGGCTAATTTTCGCCGGATCAGCAATAGTTGGTAAAAGTGTAACAGAAGTCACCTGAAATCGACTTCCTTCCGCCTGGAAAAACTTGTCGCAGCCACAAAATTACAAAATCATTGAAAACCTGGCCAAAGGAAATCTCTGAAATGCCTTGACCGCACATAAAATGGGACAATAATATTGCAAGGAAAAAAGATTGAAAAAAAAAGAAATCGCAGAAATTGCGGAAAAATCTATTAAAAGCAATTCGCTTAATTTCGTTACCGGACCGGTCGACATTGCTCATATTTACTTATTGTACTTCCACCAAAAAGCCCAGTCAGCCGGAAAAGGCGACAGGGGGCGTGGCAGTTGGCTAATTAAGTGCGCAGGGCAAATGAAATATAAGTGAGGCAACATACAAAGTACGAAAAAAAAAAAGAAGGTAATTACAATCAATGGGACCAATCGGTGCGGTGGTGCCTCCGACCAAAAGCCAATTTCATGCAACAATCAATCAAAAACAATTTTTAATTTTGCGTTAACAATTTTCAGGCTGATCTGTTTTTTTCTTTCATATTTTCCAACGCTTTTGCCGGCCATTTGTTGGCGTTGTTCCTTGCGTCCGTTTTAACTGTGTGAAGTAAATTGGAAAATAAAGTTAAAATTAAAATGCATTAATTGAACTGTGAAATTTCATGCAAGCGTATTGAGGTGGGCGGGTAGATTGAGGTGAGAGGGGCGGGAGGATTATTGGCGCCCAACGATGTGCAATGAAAACGATTTTAATTGTCAGCGTTTTAAGCGCGCTTAAAGTCGTCAGCCATAACTTGGCATGAATATGGTAGCAAAGGGAATATCACTGGCTATGTTAAACTGAAAGCTGTAATATTTTTCATAAATTTCTCTGTTAAATATACAAACTGAAATCATTATCTCAAGGCAGGTAATTATGGAATGCAGGTGTTGATTATCTATGCTCTCCATTGTGCAACTTGCAAGCCATCGGTGCACTTCCCCAAAAGCCCAATTAGGAGATTTCTCCAATTGCATCGATGATATGAATGGAAAACACAATTCCAGCCAAAACCCACTTATCAGGCAATATGAACATCTGACCATACATAAACTTATCACTCGACTCGCCCATTTTGCGACTGCATTAAGCCCCCAATTTTATGGTCAGAGCCAGGCTATGGATTTCGGCGTAGTGTGTGTGGCGTAGCTTTAGCTCCCAGAAATGGGGTGGAGGCTCCAATTGCCAGTTTTCCCAGCCGGTTTTGGGTTTTGGCTCGTATTTGACTTTGGCCGAGGCAACAATTAAAACGAAATGCGCACAGTAATGCCAATTGGCGATTGCGGATATCTGCAGGCTGGTCAACTGTACGGGGCAAGCATTTTGGGGGAGGGAGCTGCGGGGATTACCCATTAGTTGGTGCACCTTTCGCTGTGGCGCGTGCGTCGACATTAGCCAAAGAGTCACCATCGCCATGACCAGCACCATTACATTGCCCCTGCAACATTACAAGTTTATTCCACTCGATCACTGTTCGGGAATTTTGATTGATAAATTACACTGCAAGAATTATGGCAGTGAAACTACTATTTATCGGTATTGATGATTGGTTGGAATCGGAGGAATGAGTAAAAGTTTGGAGCGGGTTAGATACCTCTATCTCTTTGTTTTTTGAAAAGAAAAAAGATTCATTAAGACCAAAAGTGTAACCAAAAAACCTATCTAAGCCAAACTACAAGACTAAAAAGAACTTTTAAAACTACTTAAGACTGCAAATAATTTAATTTAAATCACATAGATCATCTTTATTAGAATAAAATATAAATAACAAGATTAATTTCCCATTTTAAAATACTTTCTTAAACTTCAACTTATCATAATAAGATTATTACCAACCATAAACCAACTATAATTAACCTTATTGACAGGCTCCACCTTCTATTAGTTTCTTTCGGTGCCCTCGTGTTAATCTAAACATTAGCCTTACTGTACCGTACGCCCCCACTAGCTGTAATCTCGCTGGCGCCTCGGCAGATCGAAGGCATTTCACTGTCATTAGCGCCAGAAACCGGCCTGGTTATCGATGATTGTGTGGCGGGCACATGAGGTTTTGCCTGATGCTGTTGGCCAAACAGGTTGCCCGACTCTTTGGGCCAAAAAGTGTAGCAGCAGCCAGGTTCGCAGTGTGGCCATTAAAATCCTGCGGTGTCGATGTACTTTTGATTTCCAACTAATAAACAAGAGCCGCGTTTGCCGTTTTTAGTTTTTGTTTAGCTGCCAGTGTTGACAACGCAACTCTCGGTTTTGGGTTTGGGTTTTTGGGATTCGGATTGGGCCAATGCACCAAAACGGAGACCAAAACCGAACCATAAACCGGAATCTCCTTCACACAAAACGAGCCGAGCCTGCGGTCACCCAAGAGCTGCATTCGGCTGGCCTTTCCCTTTCGTTGGCCCCAGATATTGATTGATATTGATGCAACTGCCAGTGCCACTGTGGAAGTGCAACTGCAGCATGCCAAATATCATTGGCATTCCAATTGGGTTGCAGTTCAGCTAGCCAATTGTTTCGTGGTCTTGGGGGGTCTTCAGAGGGGAAAACTCAAATGTTTGGTGGAATCCCGCGGAAGAGAGAGTGTTCCTGGGGTTACTGTTTTTCTTTAATGAAGAGTTTTTGAAAGAAAAGATAAAAGACATAAACGTAAGTATTCCTTGGGAAATTAATTTCCCCAAGAAACTACTACATGACTTCCTATTTTTAACAGCTAATACCAACACGAACTTAACTTACCACTTGCTGTTAGCTGAAAGTCTTAAGGCCATTTCAGAAATTAACAACAAGGAATGTTATTTAACTTTTTCCTTTACTAACCATAAACTATAACCAGAGAATGCACCAGGTTTTTCTTTAAGTGGCATCCACATCTCAGCTGAATAATGGGCGTATCTGTCTGCTGATTGATTGTTAGTGTTTCCCCAAGTTTTCCACTCTTCCGGCTGTTGGATCGGACCACCCAGTTAAAGACATTTGGTTTTGTTGCATTTCTCTGCTTTTAAATTTTATTCCATGTTCATTTTCATTTCTGTGTGTTGTTTTGTGTGTGTGTTCGTTTGTTTGTTTGTTTGGTGTTTTTTGCTTTCTTCTTTTGCCGCTCCCCTTTGCCTTTCATTTTTATCTGCATTTTTATTTGCATTCTTCTCGGCTTGTGTTTTACTTTATGCTAAATTGGCTATTTTGTTTTGTTGCTTTGTCACTTAAACTTGTAAATTTGCTCGGCAGGCAGCCCTGCCCTGCCATGACCTCCCCCACTCTTTGGCCGGCTGTTTGTTGGCTTAAATGTAACAGTTATGCCGGACCTAACCCTTTCGTTGCCAAAGAATTCAGAGTTATTGCATTGCCGGGCAGTGCAGGGGGTCGCTTAAGAGTTAGTTTTTGATTCTGTTTCTGTGTGGGGCGCTTGCTTATGCTTTATCCGCTACTAACTTGAAGTTTCTGGCCATATTCTTCATATCGCCGAGGCATCCTTTTACGGCTAAAAGTGTGTTGTTGTTGTTGTTGTTGTTGGTGGTGGTTGCTTACATTTCTCTTGGGCCTATGTCTTATATATGTAAACCGTTTTTCTGCTTATTGTAACACGTATTGTTGTATTTGTATTTGTATTCGTAATTATATGGGTTATTAGTTGCCCCGTCCTCCTTCGTCCTGCTACCCCTTCTTATCCAAAAACATTTTGCACTACAGATGAACATTCTGTCTCTCATATCGTAATTACTCATTGGTTTAAAATTAATTTGCCACATTCGGTTTGTGTTGCACTTAGGATCTAGTATTTTCTTTAGTTATATATGTTTGTTTTGTTTTGTTTGTTGTTGTTTGTTGGTTGCTTGTTGGCTTTTGTTTATAAATAATATTTTGTAAATATTACCAACACAATGAATCATAAATACAGCACGCACTGTGAGCATTCACTTGTTTAGTAATTTATTAGTTAGTTAACATGACGACGTGTTTGTTTGCTTGCTTTGTTCTTACAATTCGCAATTATTTGCTGACAATAAAAACCCAAGGAGCGAAAAGTCACTAAATCACTAAACTCAACTATACATAGGGTACACATACACACACATACATATATATATTACTATATTCCATCTTCTGTATATGTTAATTCGCTTTAATGATTAATTAAATCTCAATTTAAACTTATCATTTTTGCCAGAATTCTTGGAACTCTGCAAATTGAATCCTTTGCTGTGGCTTAAATTGGCGTTAGGTTCTTCTAAGTATTTCTGGTTTTTACACTGATCTCTTATCTTAAAGATATATATATATATATATATTTGTATGTATTGCGCATAGGATATAGAATAATCTGAAGCTTAGATCGACTAAGAAATAAATTACAAAAGCTTAGGCTTTGTACAAAAAATCGTATGGCAAGCTGGCTATCTGCTGATCTGTTGATCTGCTGATCTTCAAACTGAAATATTTTACAATAGCTGGTAATCGAAAGTTAATCTGGCCTTGTGGTCTGTTATGTTACATAGAATATGGTTTAATTTACTCTTGGAACCGCTACATATGATATTTAAATCGCTTTTAGTTTTCGTTTTCAAACAACATTTAACACTCTCTATATCATAGTTTTTTTTTTTTCGTTTCTCGGGTTGAGCAATTCTTCTCTACTTGAACATTTATGTACAATTATCGCTTATGTGGAGGGTCTCTCATTGGTATTTTTTGTTTAATCATATTTTTTGGGCTATAATTATGTTATCGTTTGTTGTGTTATAAAAATATTCGTAGTAAATGGAAACGATTAGTTTTTGGTCCTTTCAAACGATTGGAAAATCATAATCAAACTATAAAGTGCGATTTATTGTTTAATAGAACCCAATTTCGGTTAGGTTAAAACGCTTTTGATCTTTCGCTTAATTTCATTTCCCAAAAATATCTTACAGTTTTCTTTGCTCGGGGCAAACGTTTCTTTTTTTTGTTTTTCTCAAATGGAAGGAATTTGTTCGTGCCTGGTAAGTATATTACTTCGTCGCTTACTTCTTTGTTTTTACAATTTTAAACTATAGGTTCTCTCTCGCGGCTCCTTTTCTCCCTTCGTGCTTTTAGTTCTAAACATTTTCAAAATATTTAACAAAATCAGTCGCTTTCTCGATCTCCCTTCGCCCTTCGTCCGTCGAAAAGGAACTTAAAGTACTCGTAATAATCAACTTTTTAACAATGTTTTTCCTCAAAAGAACTGTAAACTTCTCCTTACGGTTCTTCTCTCTCTCTCTTTCTGGCTTTGGCATTTAAGTTAAGCGCACACTCATACACATTGACATACAGCGATAAGGTTACAGTTACAGTTACCGTTACAGTTATAGCTAGGGGTTACAGCTAGGGGTTACAGTAAAAATATTCGAATAGCTTAGGGTTAAAGAGTCGATGCCTTTTTGGGGGGTTTCTAGAAGATAGGTTTTCTGTATTTTAGGGATACTGTTGGGCCTGGGTTCTTAGCCTAGGGCAATTTTGATGCTTGGCTAAATCGGTTACAGATACACATACATATGTATTGCTATATAGAGTAGTAGTCGTGTGTGTAGCATAGTCCACGTGGTAATGTCGAGTAATTGGGTAAATCCATACGTTTGCTTAGCCATATAGGGGGTTAGATTACATAGAACATTCGGTGTAATAAACGCGTCAGTCACTCCCAAAGAAAACATTCATTCAATCTCTCACTCTCTCATTCTCTCTCTCTTACACGATCTCATCTTAATCTAATGACTGTTTCTAGTGGCCAGGACTAAAACCAGTACCGAAACCACCGCCCACCAGCCACACGCTTTGGTGGTACATCCACTGAAGACGGGAAAGTGAATCTGCTCTGGCTGATTTAGCTCCTCCTCCTCGTCATCGTCAATGGAATTCGACAGCTGTCGATGGCGTTTGGTGAAGTTCACATTGAATACCGCTTCGGCAACGCCACCTGGCGTTGAAACTATAAAGTAGAAGGTCCTTGGAACCCTTTCGTGCATGCTGACGTAGGTCAACCTCGCCTCCTTGCAGAATGGCGTGGGCAGATCCTGCGAATAGAGGAAAATGGATTAGATTTCCTTTGGGGATTACCTAGGTGACTTTACTCACCTTAACTGCGTAGGCCAGCACCGTACTGCCATACTGGTTTCCTGGCGTAAAGACACGATCTCCGTGCAACCAGCGAGCGGCATGAGCCGGAGGATTGGCACAGAATTCCACGTTGAGATGGAGTGGTGATCCTGGATAGGCCACGGGCGTGGCATTCAGAGCCATTACTGTGGGAGCTCCTGAAAGGAAGAGGGGAATAATTTGGCTTAACTTCAACTTTCTTTAGCTTGTAACTTATAACCATTTTTAAGCTATAAATAAAACATATAACTAACTCTTAGTCTTAGTCTTAGTAGGGCAACTTATTACTGGTAAGTTAGTGTGATAGTTATTGCCATGAGAAAAACGTTGAGGATTAGCGGAATATCTCTTGAGAACTTTAGTGATTTTGCACCCCTAGCTTGAGCAGCCTTGGCTCGTTAGCCTCCTCGAACTTTTCGCACCGAGATTCCCTAAGCAAACTTCTGTAAGCCTTCTACGTCGCACTTCACACATGCTAAGCCAATTCCGGGGCAACTGTACTGCGATGCCAAGTTTGTTTCGCCTCGCATCAGCTGCAATTAAAGCCAGGGCGAAAAGTTTACGGCCACCGTTACCGCCACCGCCACCGCTACCGCCATTGCCATTGCCATTGCCATCAGCATTGCCATCGCCACTAATTAAAAGCGTATCACCCAACAAATGTGCCACTTACTGCCACAGAAACTCAGCAAGCAAGAGCCCTACAAGGACGATCTGCACCTCTGGAAAAGTAAACGCTTGTCATGGGTGTGGGAAAAATCAAAATAAATAGAGAACAACATGTCGTTGGTGTGGGGTGGGCCAAAAGGAAAAGTTGGCCCAAGAACGCCGAAACTTCATTAAAAAGTTTGCGCCAAAGCGAATTTTGTGGAACTTATGTGGGCCGTGTGCCCAGAGTAGGGGATTATCTCTGTGAGATGCTAAAGCCTGACGATGTTGGCCAACACTGCGACAATCCAATTAGACACATGTGCCAACCCTTTCTCTTCTTTCTTTTTCCCGTTGCTGGGCTGAGGGGGGTTACCTCTGCAAAGTATATTTAATTATCGAAAGGCTCGAAATTTTGCAATTTTCCTCATCATCGCCCTGAGACAGAGACTTATGGAGCGGGAAAAGTAAAATGTTCCGCAATGGCGAGCCTGGCAAACAAAATGGTCGAAAGTGTTAAGTGCAAATGAGTGTTGGGTGGATGGGTGGTTGGGTGTTCATTCGGCACAGACACAAACAAAAACAAATCGAAGAACTCCGTTCGACACTCTCAAATTTATAACCAGAAACAGGGAAAACCCCCCATTTCCAGCACAGGACCTGGGCGACTAACTTTAAAATCAATTAAAGCAAGTGCGGCAGGGTTGTGTCTGCCTGCCAAATTATGCGTTCAACGCCATTTTGTCGAGCCCTGCTCAGCAGCGGCAGCTTCTCCTCTCACTCCTTTTAACCAACCCAACCTTTTGTCCCCGGAGGAAAAAGTGTAATTTATTTGACAGCCAAAAATGATTTTTGCATGAGCCTCTTACCCAGCGAAAGCAAACCCATTCAACGTGGCTCTCAAAGAGATTTAAATTCTATTTTGATTTGCAGCCAGTGAGCCGTGTGCAAGCATTTTACCCCAAAGAGAGAGAGAGAGAGAGATCCCAGACCAGGTGGATGGCTGTTGGATTTGCCCCCAAGGTCAGTGCTTTGGTCATTGGTGCGACTTTTAATTTGATTTCCACTCGGCCCGACCCGGGGGCGCCAAATAGAAATGAGTTTTAAATTGCCCGCAGTTTTACGGCTAACGCTATGCTTTGGATCTATTCCCTATAAATAATATGGCTTCCCAGGAAAATCCTTGCTTGGGAACCAATAGCATCAGGGTGAAAATAAAACAGCTGAAAGAGACTCAATTTATGGAGAAGAAGAAGAAGGAAGGCCATGAAAAACAATAACAAGACAGAAAACAAGGGGGGACAGGCAGTGAAAAGTTGTGTTCCCCCAAGTAATTGCAGCTCGCGAATGAATGCGAAAATTCAATTATTTTTTCGGTTGTTATTATTTCTTTTGGTGCTTTCGAAAGCACTTTCCAACACTGTCTCCCCTCTGCCACTCTGACACTCTCAACCCGAAGAATGCAAAAACGCATTTTCTGCAGTGACGGGGAAAAAAGGACAACAGCTTTCAGCAGACGTGCAATCAATGGGGTGAAGTCCAGAGCTCCAAAAAGGCATCTACCACTCCTCAACCAAAGTGTTGTAAAACGTTTTCCTCTTCCCAAGTTGTTGTTTTTGTTGTTGTTGTTGCTGCCTCACCTCTTTGCAAAGTTTTCGCACAAAAGGCAACTACGAAAAATTAAGTTAACTTTTTCGGGCAACGGGAATTGAGTAATTTTCAGCCGTAAAACTTTATTATTTTGGACTGCAGGACTTGGCTGCGTCCGCTACCCCCATTTTCCCATTTCCCCCCGTTTCCCGTTTTCCTTTTGGCATTTGCCATTGTTGTTGCAACAATTGTAGAACATGCAAAGTTGCTGTTATTGTTTAAATATTTATTTTCAGCTGTTGCAGCTGTAAATGCTGGCAGGAAAAGTTGTCTAGTGCCCGAAAGTGGGCAAAAACATGCAAATTTCATTGGGGGCGGCCAACGCGGAACCAAGAGAGGAACCGCCAAAGCAACTCTTCGGGCAGTGGACCAAAGCAACATGTAATTACATTAAGCCAGCTGAATTTTTGGTAACACTTTTGAATGTTCTCAAACGCAGAAAGGGTAATAAAGTCCTGGTCTAGTAAAACTTATTCCAAAAAGTGGCTTCTAATTCGGGAGGGCGGGTTGGAAAATAATACTATTAATAATAATAATCGCACACACTCGTGTTGTATTTAAACTTCTACGACCAGTCTGCTGGAAACTTTGTCTTTGCTTGATCTTTAATCTAAGTCAATATTTTTGTTAAAGTTCGTGTTCTACTTCCAGTTAGTTATAGTTTGGTAGCCACTGTAAGTAAAGGTCTTTATTTCTAAAAGGTATTATTTTAATGGCCACTTGCAAGTGCCAAAATGCCAAAAGAAAGATGGCACAACGGCTCAGATTAGAGCCAGCAATTAGAGGTGAGCGGCGCCAGAAGACCTAAACAGCTTGCCAAACATGCCCCGGGTGACCAAGACTCCGGGACTCCACCTTAAATTCCGGCTGAGAGTCCGGCAAAATGTTATTAGGTATGCAGAGCTCTTCGGAAAGAGAGCGCGGGGCTGTAAATGCTAAGATAACAGCAATCCGACAGGCAGCAAGTGAAAATAACAATCATAATATTCAATTATGCAATGGCTGCCCGAGGATGAAGAGTACTGAAACTCCAGTACAAAACTGGACGATGGGATTCGTGGATCCGGATATGAAGGGCCAGGGTGGAAACTCGGGGCTTGTTCCATGCTATGCCCCTGAATAATTAATAAACATTGTGTGCACTTAATGCAAAAAGCTGCAAATAAAATTACCAACTGCCAGGGCTCGTTGTTTGCTTGTGTACTGAAATCATTGCCGGGCGTTGGAAAAACAAAACAAGTTCATGGGTCCGAGGCTCAAATTGAAATTACGTGCCCGGGCTGAGCAATCAAAGAGGGATTAGCGGGTTGTTTTTGCTTTTAGTTGGCCATTTGTCACTTGCCAATTGCCAATTGCAGAAGCGGACTACGGCTCACACCTTTGGGCGCTTTTAATTGAATTTATTGTCGGCAAGGTGGTTGCTGAATTATTGATTGCCGCGATGACAACTTAACCCAGTGAAGGATGCGACTTTTTCAAAAGCCAAGTCCAAGGCTTTTTGGCATTTATCTTAAGTTTCGGCAACTTTTACTCGGCCAAGCCTAAGCTGCTCAAAAATTAATGAGGAGGCCGGGTGGGACGGAGCCGTGTCGCTTGTATTTAGCCAAAAAGGTTGGGAAAACTTGGCCAAGTAATCTTCTGTGTTTGTGCGGTTTGCTCTGGTTTTGGAAGTCGAAGCACGCGTTTTCCCGGCGATTTTAAGACACTCTGCCCTGCGGCGTCACGAATTTTTAATGGAAATTTACTTGATTGTACAGGGAGAGAAAAATGTATTGTCTGATGATTAAGGTGTAATTATAAAGATCAAATAAGGATTTTAATTACGTTTTTATAGATCTTGTTAGATAAAAGTTATTATACTCTTAAAAGATATTATTCTATGTATTTTTTAACCTGACATCAGTTCCTTATTATTTTTACTGTGTAAGCATAAGCATTCTTGTCACTTTGAGAGCACACCTATAGGATACTTTACTTTTCCTAATTGAAATCCCTTCAAGTATGTCGACTTCAAAGTCAATTGCTCGGGGACAACAGCACTGGCCGGCCAAATCTAAAAGACTAGAACTGGGCCATTAAGAGTGACCAAACAAACTTTGATGCTGGGATGACCTCTAAGTGGCGAAAGGACCGGTTGGACAGGACCGAGATCTAGACAGAGATTGATATATGGTGGAGGTAAAGTGCAGTTCTGGTTATATCAGGGTTATCCTTTCACCCTGCCTCTCTCTCTCTTTTCAGATCTAGTTTAGCCGTGTGTGCTTGTCCACACACTCGTGTAAATATCTCTAACCCAAATCTTGAAAATTTACAAAGCGCGCTCCTATGGCTGGCAACGTTGTCAACACAAATTAAGCTAGCATGTAAAGCTGAATGGGATGGAAATGGGTATAGAGATGGGTATGGGTATGGGTATGGGTATGAGCTCTCCTGCCCTCCATCGTAGTTTACGTATTTAAATATGCTCTTTCACTTTCAATATCAAATGAGTGGCTGGTTGGCAACTTTTGCCTGGCAGCAAGATTGCAACTTGCAGATACACGGATACGTAGATACTTTGGCCGGGACCGGCAAAGTTTACCAAATGTGTGTGTGTGTGTGTATGTGTGTGTGCGCATAGAACCGAACTTTGAATGAACAGCTTCGTATGAAACAGCAACCCAATTTGAGACATTCCTCCTCTATATTTCCCCTCAACCCCTGCAGCTATTGCAAATTGCACAAGTTGCCAAAAATCGCTTCACATGTGCCACTTAAAGTTTTCGGTTTTTGGCCCTGTTCTGTCCTGCAGTTTGGCAAACTTGCAAGTTGCCAGGACTCTTTGCCGCCTGCCTCCTGCAGCAGCCCTATACAGACTATT